CTTCCAGTTAGATATATTAGCACGAGGATATACATCATTTTTCCTTATATAAAGTATACGCTGCTTCAGTTACATCAAGAGGATGTACTCATCCAGGATGATGTACCTAAAGAGAACAATGAAGTGTAACATGGTCTTCCAGTTAGATATATTAGCACGAGGATATACATCATTTTTCCTTATATAAAGTATACGCTGCTTCAGTTACATCAAGAGGATGTACTCATCCAGGAGGATGTACCTAAAGAGAACAATGAAGTGTAACATGGTCTTCCAGTTAGATATATTAGCACGAGGATATACATCATTTTTCTTTGCATAAAGTTACATGTTTCAGTTACATCAAGAGGATGTACTCATCCAGGAGGATGTACCTAAAGGGAACAATGAAGTGTAACATGGTCTTCCAGTTAGATATATTAGCACGAGGGTGTATATCATTTTCCTTATATAAAGTTACATGTTTCAGTTACATTAAGAGGATATAGCGATCGATGATGTTGTACCTAAAGGGAACAATGAAGTGTAACATGGTCTTCCAGTTAGATATATTAGCACGAGGGTGTATATCATTTTCCTTATATAAAGTTACATGTTTCAGTTACATTAAGAGGATATAGCGATCGATGATGTTGTACCTAAAGGGAACAATGAAGTGTAACATGGTCTTCCAGTTAGATATATTAGCACGAGGATATACATCATTTTTCCTTGCATAAAGTTACATGTTTCAGTTACATCAAGAGGATATAGCGATCCAGGAGGATGTACCTAAAGAGAAGAATGGAGTGTAACATTGTCTTCCAGTTAGATATATCAGCACGAGGATGTATATCATTTTCCTTTATATATAAAGTTACATGTTTCAGTTACATTAAGAGGATATAGCGATCGATGATGTTGTACCTAAAGGGAACAATGAAGTGTAACATGGTCTTCCAGTTAGATATATTAGCACGAGGATATACATCATTTTTCCTTATATAAAGTATACGCTGCTTCAGTTACATCAAGAGGATGTACTCATCCAGGAGGATGTACCTAAAGAGAACAATGAAGTGTAACATGGTCTTCCAGTTAGATATATTAGCACGAGGATATACATCATTTTTCCTTGCATAAAGTTACATGTTTCAGTTACATCAAGAGGATATAGCCATCCAGGAGGATGTACCTAAAGAGAACAATGAAGTGTAACTTAGTCTGCCTGGTCCTAACTGTCTCTGGAACATGGACAAAGCCCGTGTTTAAGAAGCACGTTAAGATAAACGAGTTCGGGATAAAGGACCTGGACGCAACAGGCATGAAGATGTGTGTCAGTGAGTGTCGGAAGAGGGCGCTGTGCAAGACCATGGCCTTCAACAGTGACAACGTCAGTTGTAAACTCCACAACATCACCATAGACACTGCTGAGAAGGCCAGGTTAACGCAGCCCAGTCCGTCCACTACACTGTCCGAAATATACACGTGGGAGGTAGGCAACATGATCATGAAGTGACAAATGAATTATTTGGACTTTACTTTGATTAGTGGAGAAACTCAACTACCCGGCAAAAGAAATTTTACTTGTTGTTTAATGCCGCATTCGGCAATATTGTAACTGTATTGCGACGGTCTGTTAATCGAGTCCAGATAATCCTGTGATTCAGTGAGAATCTCCGCAATTCGGATACAATTACATACATCAGGACAGCGAGCCTGATCCCTCACTGGGTGTCTCCTGGTGGACGCTGCTCTCCACATCGAATTTATCGGTTTTTAGTGAGTGATCTTTAAAGTTGAAAATGACATCTAAAGAGTGAGTGAGTGAGTTTAGTTTTACGCCGCACTCAGAAATATTCCAGCTATATGGCGGCGGTTTGTCTGGACCAGACAAGCCAGTGATCAACGACATGACCATCGATCTGCGCAATTGGGAACCGATGACATGTGTCAACCAAGTCAGCGAGCCTGACAACCCGATCCCGTTAGTCGCCTCTTACGACAAGTATTGGGTTTCTGAAGATCAATATTCTAACCCGGATCTTCACTGGTGACACCTGAAGAAATCATCCAATATTTGTGTTCATGTTCATAAAGAACATATGCTCATTGGTCAGCAATAGTCCAGCTAAATGACGGCGGTCTGTAAGTAATCGGGTCTTAGCCAGACAATTCAATGATTGACATCATGAGCATCGATAGGACACGATGGCATGCATCAACCAAATCATCGAACCGGACCATCCGATCACCTCGGACACATATTGCGATAAGCATTGGTTGCCGAATTTCGATTCTAGTATGGTCCTTCAGGCCTAATATTGTCATTGGTAGTTTGGTCTTCAATAATTGGAGCTAAAAAGGACAACTTGAGTTTAAAAAGGAGTATAACCCATTCAAAGATAAATTCACTTACACTATAAATGGAACAAAGCAATACCCTAACAATGCAGCGTTACTGCATTGTCGTGCGTTATACATGGAGCGGTGGGGTAGCCTAGTGGTTAAAGCGTTCGCTCGTCACGCCAACGACCCGGTTCGATTCCCCACATGGGTACAATGTGTGAAGCCCATTGCTGGTGTCCCCCGCCGTAATATTGCTGGAATATTGCTAAGAGTGGCGTAAACCTAAACCAACTCACCCCTTTTGACACAGCTGGGATGACTCTTTAAGAAGACAACAGCACATTTTGACCATGGAAGGCTGTGTTTGACTCACGGTCGGTATTTGCGAAAATCAAACATACCATCCAAATTGCAATAATGCAACTTTGATACATAGTTATTGTTTTGTAAGAGTTGAATTGAGCTGAGTTGGGTTTTACGTCACATCGGCATTGTTCAAATGAGTACTTTTTCAAAGTCAAAGTCCAAATGAGTTTAATTTCAAAAGCATATATATTCATTACAGTGTTATTTAAAACAGATAATTTCATAGCACTAAATTAAAAAGCATTCGTTGTTCACATTACATAGTTACAATTTATGATACAGATCAACCTCCCTCAGGTAGTTAACAATGAGATGCCCGCTCACGCGGGTGTATTGTAAGAACCAGCAAAACCAGCAATATCACGGCGGAGGACACCAGAAATGGGTTTCACACGTTGTACCATGTGGGGAATCGAACCCGGGTCTTCAGCCTGATAAGCGGACGCTTTAACCACCAGGCTATCCCACCGCCCGGAAGAACCAGAACACTATAACGATTCCATAGGTTTGACCATGTAATGGTTTTGTTTGTCAATACACTAAAACAGTAGGGACAGGTGTACCAATGAAATGTGATGACATAAGGTTACTTTCATTATTTTATTTGTGAATCGGTCATAAAACGACCTTGACATTCCAGACGAAAGCCGACCCTTGCCAAGGCAAGGGGTGTGGAGCCAACACGAAGTGCAATGTCAAGGACGCCGCAACTGCTCGGTGTATTATTACGGGTATGTTAGACGCGATGTGTCATTTTAATATATGTAAAGCTGACTTCGTCACAGTTACTGAAGGGAAGACAAGATTCATCTTCAGTCATGCAGGTCAGGGGTCAGGTCACCTCTTCAGAGGTCAAATCCAGTTCACATGTACTGATTGAGCGTCTGATAACATAATGCATAGTCAAATGTCCCCACACACTGATGTGTCGATCGGCGTGTAAAATACAGTAAACTATGTTTGTTACGAACACGCTTATTACGAACTGGGCCTAGATTTTCGAAGCTCTCTTAGCGCTAAGATAGTCGTAAGTGCCATACATTAACATTAACTTACGACTATCTTAGCGCTAAGAGAGCTTCGAAAATCTAGGCCCTGGCGGACATATCAAACTGTGTTTTTTTCCGTCTCGGGCACTTGCTATGTATATTAATCAAAATGCGTATAAAGAATAACTGCTATAACGAATTAAATGGCGTGTCCGTTCGAGTTCTTTATAACCATTATAACTGTATGTTCATGTTCATGCTGCTGATTTCTTTCTTACGTGTATCTTAATATGTAATATTACAGTTTTGGGAAATTTGTAATAATTCAAATTTTGTGTCTTTAATTGCGCGAACGTTTATACATATATCAGCCAAGTAGTTGTCGTATTTATTTAATTCAAAGATTGCTTTACTTCTTTCATGTGTGATTCTGGTATAACATTGTGACAGGCCCACGATCAAAGGGGGGTAACCCCTTTTCCCACAACCCACTCTACCTCTCTCCTCCCCCCCCCCTCTCCGTGGGTGGGTGCACGGGTGGACAAATGACCATTAAAACTCTCGTAAAAACGTTCTAAGCACACACCCACAGCACCTTCTCTAAAATCTGTATCCGCCCCTGATACTCATGTTGATAATGTAATGCATAAATCACAACATAAGGTGAAGATAGGGTACCAGAACGCGAAGAGTGGTCTCCCTTTAAACTTGGGATCTTATGTGTTGCTGTTGATAACATCTCGATATTTATGTTATATTTGCAGAATGTTCAGAAACTCCCAACATCCCAAACGCCATGCCCATGCCGTGTAGTCGTACTGTACAGACCACAGTCTCCTTCAGATGTACCGAGGGCCATGTCGTCGTCGACGGCCCCGCTGAACTCACGTGTCGGACCAATGGGTCTTGGTCTCGGCCGACGTTCAAGTGTCTTGGTAAATATCCTTGAACAAAGCGTACCGCAGTAACGTACCATTTGTAACTTTGTAACATGTAACAACATGCTCGTTCCTTGGGGTATGGGGTGGTGAGGTAGTCTATTGGTTGAAGCGTCCGCTCGTCACGCTGAAGACCCGGGTTCGATTCCCCACATGAGTACAATGTGTGAAGCCCATTTCTGGTGCCCACGGACGTGATATTGCTGGAATATTGCTAAAAGCGGAGTAAAGCCATACCCACTCACTCACAACAAACCCAAATACCTATTCCATATATTATTGGTATAATTCTATTTCACAGTTGACTGTGGTGCTCCTCCGTCAGTGATGGACGCCACCTTCACTCAGGGGATCACAACCACGCTGGGAAGTCACGTGACGTATACCTGCGCAGAAGGCACGCACGTCGAGAGAGGCAGAGCTTCGACCGAGTGTCTGGCATCTGGGTCGTGGGCTCGACCCAACTTTGTCTGTCAAAGTAATCAGAATATGGTGTCTCTGTTGTATGTTTTGACAGAAGCTAAAATCTTGACACAGCGGCTACCTCATTTAGCCGAAAAATGCACAATACGTGCAGTGAATGCACTTGATTATGTTTTTTGTAAAGCCGTCGAAAGTGGTCGATTTCTCGGCTTTTCCGATTCGCGCCAAAAGACGTGTCAAGAAATCTTCACATGTAAAGAAAATATAATGTGTCATCACCAAATGATATAGGTGTTATACTCCATGATCATTCAGCTTATAAGACAAGTCGATTTCATAAACATTTACTACTTACGAAATATCAAAATCTTACGAAGTTTGGGACTCCCTGTATATCGGGGAAATGGAGGCTGAGCATGGACAGGGCTTACCTCCTGTGACCTTAGCGCTTCGCCAGTCGTAAGTCTACGTTATGGTATGGGAGTTACGATCACCTTAGCGATACCCCAGTCGTAAGTCTATGTTACGGTATGGGAGTTACGATCACCTTAACGTTACCCCAGTCGTAAGTCTATGTTATGGTATAGGAGTTACGATCACCTTAACGCTACCCCAGTCGTAAGTCTATGTTATGGTATAGGAGTTACGATCACCTTAACGTTACCCCAGTCGTAAGTCTATGTTATGGTATAGGAGTTACGATCACCTTAGCGCTACCCCAGCCGTAAGTCTATGTTATGGTATAGGAGTTACGATCACATTAACGCTACCCCAGTCGTAAGTCTGTGTTATGGTATAGGAGTTACGATCACCTTAACGCTACCCCAGTCGTAAGTCTATGTTATGGTATAGGAGTTACCATCACCTCAGCGCTACCCCAGTCGTAAGTCTATGTTATGGTATAGGAGTTACGATCACCTTAACGTTACCCCAGTCGTAAGTCTATGTTATGGTATAGGAGTTACGATCACCTCTAGCGCTACCCCAGTCGTAAGTCTATGTTATGGTATAGGACTTACGATCACCTAAGCGCTAAGATCGGTTTATACAACGGATATATAATTATAAAGTATTTACTATGTTAGTCACGATATGGCTGAAATATTGCCAAAGTGACTTTAAATTTTAACTCACTCACTCACTCTTTATAGAACGGCATCCTGACCAGCAAATAGTGTATGCGTCTCGGTATCAGGTGTGTGCACATTAGGAAGTGCGTGGCAGTTTCGCTGTATTATGACAACATTTCAGTTACCTGGCCACGTGTCAGTGTGGAAAAGGTCGAAGTGATATAATTGTATAATAGCGTGTATCAATTTGGCGAAAAACAATTACCGCTGATTTCATGCCGACATACATCCGGGCGAACCTTGGATGATGTTGATCCAAGAATTCTAAAAGTCTGCATAGGGATTCTTTCCAACCTTTAAGGTTGGCTTCGTGTCTATCGTGCATATATGCTTAAAAAATTGTAGATTTCCGAACACCTGTAAAGTCGCGACCGTTCTGTTTAACAGAACACGGAAGTTTGTTCCGGAAAATTCCGAACTTTTTCAGTTTGATTACTTGTCGTAATCGTACAGTCGTATTATTGTTTAACGATATTGGTTTTGCAGCGGACCGTCACAAGCTTCTATCAGTTGGTCCCGGGGGGACAGATGATTCAGTTTGATCTTCCCCCGGGTCATGAGAAACCCCGAGAAGTTGACCACAAAAGCCATTGTGTCCGTGAAGCTATCTATGACATCATTTCCGGTATGATCTACTTCAGCGCCGTTGGTGATCCACCTGTTATTGGTTACCGAACTCTCGACAACCCTGTAATGATGGCCCTTATGTTTGGTATGTGAGTGAATGTAGAAGGGTCTAAAAAATTCAGCTGTTACCTATTCATAATTGAGACCCGTGAAGATCCGGGTTAGAATTGATCTTCAGTAACCCATGCTTGTCGTAAGAGGCGACTATCGGGATCGGGTGGTCAGGCTCGCTGACTTGGTTGACACATGTCATCGGTTCCCAATTGCGCAGATCGATGCTCATGCTGTTGATCACTGAAGTGTCTGATCGATTATTTACAGATCGCCGCCATATGGTTGGAATATTGCCGAGTGCGGCGTAAAACTAAACTCACTCACTTTCCTTTCTGAAAAGTTGAAGCCCAAAATGAAGCGAGTCAAGATTTCCTCAGGTTCCATCTCACTGGGGCTACTTTTCAAGTTAAAAGGAATTAATTGTTTCTATCACATATTCAGAGACTAAGCGTTAGTAATCTATAAGGTTCAGTCAGACAAAAGTTTACTGAATTTATCAAAATGTTCTGTGTTAATGAATGATGGTTATCTGTTCCAGGGGACGTGGCCGTGGGACTTGCTGTGGATTATCTGGCGAATTTACTCTTTTCTTGTTACTATTCTAAAAGATATATATCAGCAAGTGACAAGTTTGGTCGAGATGCGAAGCAAATATATGAAGCGAATGCTCAGGTTAACAAACTAGCTTTGGACAGAGACAAGCGGTGAGTGATGTTTTATTCAGTTTATACCTTTGTTGTTTTACGGCACACTCAACAATATACCATCTCGAGTGAGTGAGTTTAGTTTTACGCCGCACTCAGCAATTGTCAAGCTGTATGGCAGCCGTCTGGACCAGACAATCCAATGATCAACATGAACTTCGAACTATGCAACTGGGATTCGCTGACATGTGTCAACCAAGTCAGCAAGCATGACCACCCGATCCCGTTAGTCGCCTCTTACGACAAGCATGGGTTACTGAAGGCGACATAGGCACCTGTTACACGAACTGTGTGAGGTCGATGGTTGTCGTGTTGAAACAGCTCTCTCTCTCTGGCGGTTAAAAAGTCGGAGGAAGTGGGGTCGTGCGCAGGATTTGGTCGATGTAGCGATTTGCTGTGAGATTGAGTTGAACCACCACAAGCCCTGATCTACCCATGTAGGACATGACTCCCCACACAATGACGCTACTTCCACCAGATCTGTCCACCTGTCGAACGCAGCTTGGCGCAAAACGTTCGTGTCGACGTCTATAGACACGTTGTCTCTCACCCCGTCGTTGCAGGAGGAAACGCGATTCATCGCTGTACCCCCTTGGACCATTGGACACGTCGTTGTCGGTGTAGTCGTGTCAGGACAGGTCCAACGTTTGGTCGGTATGCTCAAACGTCGGTATTACCACTTCTCTCAGACGATTTCTGATGGTTTGGTCTGAAATTCTTCGAAGAACCAGGCACCTGTCCTGCAGTGTCCACTGCTGTAGCAAATCGGTAACATCCAGATAAATCCGTCCTGAGCAGTAGTGGTCACTCTTGGCCTTCCACTTCTGGGACGATTTTGGGTGGAAATGAAGCGCGTATATCGATGCCATAATCGAGATATGGTGCTGTGGTGGACGTTCAAGTGTATTTCAATGGCAGACTGGGACTCCCCTGCTTCCAAATGTCCAATGGCGATATTTCGGTCAGTGGCATTCAATTTTTTTTTACGTCGTAAATTTCGTAATGAAATGATGAATTTGGTTCTTTATAGTCGACGTCTGTATTCATGTTTCCGACACATTGCACGTGCATTACGTGGAAAACTTTTCCTGCATGCCTTGTATCGTTTTCATGTGTTATGACAAACGTTTGCAAACACATTTTAGTATGCGTTTTACACAACAACCACGACATGATTAACGGGATTCAAACAAAGGAATTGTCTTAATGGCGATTGCTGTCAATATAAATCGAAATGAACTGCTGAAAACGCTAATGCTTTTGTTGGTTGGTTTAAATGTTTTTGGTTTTTTTATAGTCTACCTAAAGGTTTACATTTATATGAGAACAGACTTGTGTTTGTAAGTTTGACTTTAGCGTATTTCATTATAGTGACTTACTCATTCCTGACACTCTGTGCTTCGAGGGGGGCGGCGGGGTAGCCTAGTGGTTAAAGCGTTCGCGCGTCACGCTGAAGACTCGGGTTCGATTCCCCACATGAGTACAATGTGTGGAGCCCATTTCTATTGTCCCCCGCCGTGATATTGCTGCAATATTGTTAAAAGCGGAGGAAAACTAGACTAACTCACTCACTCACTCACTCACTCACTCACTCACTCACTCACTATGAGCTTCGACGGAACATAAAGTATTCATGAACGATTACATGTTGTGTATGGGGATGCGATCCCACATATGCCACAAATAATATTGGATTAAGGAATTTCAGGATGGGGGTGATAAGCCCCTCTCTGTGTTCGACCTGCCACCGGCCAAGACACGAAAACGCTTATGACGTTCACAACCTGATACTGAAACAACTGAGCTGGGTGAAACCGATGGCGTCTGGTATTGGACAATAGAAACAATTCTTCATGAACGTAAACATCTGACAAAATGAGGGCTGCTGGGTTCACCAACTCTGATATCAAGATAACCAGATGTAATCGCAACCAGAATTTTCATTTTTGTCTAACGACAGGTGATTAAACCTGGATCCGCCATTATGATCCCTAGAGCAAAGAACAATCCATAAGTCGACAAATTGGGGGTCTCTCAAGCCTGGAGGTTTGAAGACACGACCTTTAAGGGTACCGCAGAGACTTATAGTGAGTGAGTGAATGAGGTTAGTTTTATGCCGCACTCAGTAGTATTCCAACTACATGGCGACGATCTGTAAATAATCGACCAACAGCATGAGCATCGATCTACGCAATTGGGATACGATGACATGAGACAACCAAGTCAGCGAGCCTGACCACCCGATCCCGTTAGTCACCTATTACGGCAAACATATGGGTTGCTGAAGATCAATTCTAACCTAATTCTAATTCTTTACGGGTGCTATGAGTGAAGAAATAACAATTCAAGAAATTAAAACAACTATAGGATCATTGGCTAGAAATGTTTTTGAGAATTGAGCGATCAGTGAAATGCTTAACATCTTGGTTTCAGGTACGTGTATTTCGCATGTGCAAATTCAATTGGTCGTGTCGGATACGATGGGTTTAACTACGTACGCATCACAAGGACTGCTAAACCTGCTGGGCTATATCTGAATGGTGAGTACTGTAGCCGATTATCCATGTGTCAGAAAGGTCTGTCACTCCGTATGGCAAGCCGTTTTCCCATTTATTAAGAAATTAAAGACATTTTCAATTGTTTTAAAGATACATGTGTTCTAGTTAAAGATACTGATAATGTTTTAAAGATGTCGGTAAATATTTGGAGATATCTTTAATTAATTCCTGATATTCAAATAGAATTACTGATATTTCTAAATGTGTTTAAGATATCAATAAAACAATTACGATCATAGTGTACATAATTTTATTAGCAATTTATTCATATATATTAAATTCAGTTCCAGATATCTTGAAATAATTTGCACATATCCACAAATGCATTACAGATATCTTCAATTGAATTAGAGATATCTTCAAGTCAAGATAGTTTAAAATCAACTTAAGATATCAGTAATTTCTCAATACACTATCTCTATTTGAGATATCTTTAACTCATTTTATGATATCTCTAGATCTAATTCAATTCAATATATCAGCAATTCTTTTCAAGATATCATTAATATGCTTCATAATATTTTTATTCATTTCGCGACATCATGGATTTTATTGAAGATATGTAAAATTATCTCTGTTTGAATTATCTTCAATTCAATTCAAGATATCTCTATTTTCATTCAAGATATATTTAAAACAATTAAAGATATCAGAATTTCTTAATACATGTGAAAACAGCTTGCCATAAGTCAGCGTCTGTTGTTGACTTGTCTCAGAGAAGCTGATGTTGACGGAAAATACGTTATTTTGAAGAATATACAGGGTGTCCAGTAAACGACCGATGTATGTTTTACGTTATGCCGTCAACGTGAAATGTTTACCTGAAGTCGGGATGTGTGTGCCTCTGATATATGTGTTTGTCTCTAATTTGTGTATTTTGAATGTGTTTGGTGGCTCTGTATACCTATATACCGTGATGTGTGCGCCTTCAATGTGTGATGTGTGTGAGACCATCACGTGTGTGCCTTATGTACAAAGTGTGTCTGCCTCCAGCATGTGTGCCTTCAATGTGCAATGTGTGTCTCTGATATGTTCCATCAATGCGTGATGTGTGTGTGTGTGTGCCTGTGATATGTGTGCCTTCAATTGTGATGTGCCTGTGTCTGTCTAGCGGGGAGTAGCCTACTCACAGTTTGGAGCAGCTCATTAATTAGTAGGTAAGTCCAGGCAGTAACACTGGTCACATCTGACTGATCTGTCTGATAATTGGAACGTCTGACAAATGGCACGTCTGACAATTGGAAGGGAACCAACCCCACAAGTATTTCTTGATGGCTTCACCTACTCTAAGAATATAACCAGGGGCCAGACTACACACTGGAGATGTACCATCAAGACATGCCGAGGGAAATGTTCCACTGTTGGGGACTTCCTGAAAGATTTCTCGGACCACTGCCATCCACCTAGAGATCCGACTCAAGTCCAGTTTGTTAGTAATTTGCGGACACGGGCCAGAGAAGAAGCTACACCTGTCCAGGCTATCTACAGAACAGAAGTCTCCCACATCAGCACCCAAACCTGTACCGATTTGTGGAACTGAAGGCATCGGAAGGCGCCAAGCTAACGCAGATTGACTTTGGTGCCGCTCCCCCACCCAGGAAGAAAGCGTACATAGAGTCTGAGGGGAGACTGCTCCGGTGGAAAGAGAAGCTGACCAGTGGCCAGAAGACATCTGTTCAATTCCTGGATGCTGTTGGACATCTATTGAAACTGGGCTGAAAATATTGAACTCTACTCTAGTATAATCATTTATAATATTTGTTATGTGTCTTCAATACGTGATATTGCATCACAATGTGAGCCTCTAATACCTTAAATAAACGCAAGTATACCTTCAACCCAACATGCGTGACGTGTATACTTATGTCTGATCTGTGTACCTGTTGAATGTTTCAGAAAACGTCCTCTACATCTGCTCCAGCGTCACTGACGACATACACAGCTTTAACCTGACCAGCAATAAACTCAAGACCATTGTGTGGGCCGATAGCGACACCCCACACCGATGCTGGGACATTCTTGCCGAAAACGGCCATATCTATGTATCTCACATCCAGAAAACGTAAGTACGCAATATTGAACTGGGACGTTCTTTCCGAAAAAGGCCACATTTATGCATCCGGAAAACGTACGTATCTATTGCAACTGGGACATTATTGCCGAAAACGGCCATATTTATGATTCCCACATCCGCAAAACGAAAGTACGTATGGTTGCAACTGGTAACTAATTATGTATATATTGGTAACTACATATAATTGTGAGGGGTTTTTTTTTCGCCGCTCAATTTCTATTTCAGATGTACTGAACTTAAGTGAGTGCGCGTGTGAGTGTGTGTATGCGAGCGTGTGTGTGTTAGTCCGTCATAATGCCGGTTTTACATTAGTATGCAACTGACTGACTGAATTTGTTTTTACGCCGCTTTTAGCAATATTCAAGCAACAACTTGGCGGGGGACACCAGAAATGGGCGTCACACATTGTACCCATGTGGGGATTCGAACCCGGGTCTTCGGCGCGACGAGCCAACGAGTATTCAACTGACATAGTTTCGCATTTTAGCAAAATGACAATGAAAACAGATGTTAGGTCTTGCAAATGCTCAACAAATACCTGGGAAGATCAATTAACAGAACAGAACTTGTATTAAGCCGGGAGACACAGCATAAGAGGTACAAATATACATTTCAGGATCTATAGGATATACATAAAAGAACTTACAATCTGTAGAATGATAATACAGAATGTACCAAGTTGCTTTAAAACAATTATTTGTTTACAGTTAACAGTTCCATAAATATTAACACATTGGGTTTTAACATTGGCGTTAGGGTATATGTTTTCAGATGATCGACAAAAACGACATTTTATCCAAATCTAGCTAGTTAATCTACATCGAAACGTCGCTCTATGCAATAAACAAAAAGTAAAAGTTAGTTTGATGACCATGCAAGAATCTACATCGAAACGTCACTCTATGCAATAAACAAGAAGTTAAAGTTAGCTTGATAACGATGTAATAATCTACTTCGAAACGTGGCTCTATGCAATAAACAAGAAGTTGTCATCCATAACGTTATATGGTTCATTTGTAAACGTACATCTATTGTAACACAGTTGTAGTCAAGAATTAAACTTTAAGTAAAATCACGATAAAAACATTTTTATGCTGCTTGTTTCATCTTGCACAGGACCATCAGCAAGTTCTCGCTGAATGGGGAGAAAGAGGAAGGACTGAAATACAGCGGCGTATATAAGGGCATCCGGGCACTCGTCTATGTTCCCTGACCTTGACCTCTGTTCACAGACAGGAATGGAGCCTGTCGTTCTTGTTCTCTGACTCCTCGTATGAATTCTCTGACTTGTGTGTCCGAGGTCTGGTCCCTCGCCTGTGTTTTCTGTTTTGTTTCCTCACATGAATGTACGGTTAATAAATTTGCCGTGACAAAAGGTTTAAAAGTCCCCTTTGAACCAGCAAAATAGAACACAGACAAGTCTAAAATATTCAATAATATATTGAACAAACAATGAGCAAGCTACAATGAATGACAATACAGATATCTAGTACAATGCAATTGAGTCACAAATCTAAAATATTGGGTCACAAATATAAAATATCAACTCACCAGAGTCTTGACATTTACAGTGAGAGCAGATATACTGATTGAAGTTTGTTTACAATGACAGCAGTTGAATAGACGAGCACCACGGTCAGTTTTGAATGTTGAACAACCTGACGATGGCAGACAGATGTGTATAACTCCAGTGATGTGATAAGTCCGTCGCACAACGCAACAACCAGCCTTTATATAGCTCTTACACAGTTCTCGAGCATTCTAGCAAAGCTAGGCATCATCATTATCCACTCAGAACATTAGGCGATTTTCTCGAACATACGACCGGAAGTCAAAACAAAATAAGCCAGCCAATGGAGGCAACTCTGAAGTGCTATCTCAAAAAGGCGTACCGCTAAAAATACTATTGCCATAGAGCATATATGATGCGAGGTGCGAGCCAAAACCCACACTCAAAATTTTAAACATTGTGACCCATAATGACTATCACCTAATCAATGTGATATTACAAATTACAAAAAAAACACACTATCAATATATTCAACCTTTCTCCTCGCTTAGAATTGTACATGATTGAAATGCAATGGAGTAAAATATAATTTATGGTGAAATCTCGTTACTCCTCGACCCGTGAATATCCGGTGTAGAATTGATCTTCAGTAATCCATGCTTGTCGTAAGAGGCGACTAACGGGATCGAGTGGTCAGCCTCGCTGACTTGGTTGACACATGTCATCATATCCCAAGTGCGTTGATCGATGCGCATGTCGTTGATCACTGGATTGTCTGGTCCAGACTCGATTATTTACAGACCGCCGCCATACAGCTGGAATATGACTGAGTGCGGCGTAAAATTAAAATCGCTCACTCACACACGTTACTCCTGACCTCGTTAATCTGAAACCTCGACTTCCGGATGCTCTCCGGCCTACAAATGTGATCTTCCGCACTGTTTAAATTTGGACCCTACCGTAACCTGTTTCACTTCACCTGATAACTGTAATAACTGATTTGATCCCTCCAGAAAATCCTAACCTTAAATCTGTTGGAAATGATAAGAATTTGATTTTGGTTGATCGGATGGTCTAGAATCTGTCAGTTGACTGCTCGACTTTATTTTGTATGACCTTATTTTGTATGCCTGAAGAACTATACAGTCTCTGTGTGTGGTCTTTTAAAACATTCATCTCACGTTGCCATGGATGCGTCAAGCAAATGAGCCACAAGGGGACACCTGAAGAAACGGCGCTTAAGGAATATGCTGAATTATGCAAAGCAAAAATGCAAAATGAAACAGTTTAAAACAGCCTCCGTTAAGCGTATTCGACAGTAACAGGCTTTAAATGGAAATGCCAAAACCTCTCTCCACAATCGTAAGGACCCCATGTTAAAAAAATCACTGTTCGATATTGACTGTATCATAAGCATGTGTTTATAAACCACTGTCAGGCTGTGTGAACATTGTTAGTGGTCGTGAAAATTGTATCGTATCCCGCTCCGCCGGCTGTAACAGTCACAAACACACGCAAAGGCAAGACAATTCTTCACATGAAAACACAAAACGGATAATGAAGTAAAATGAATGTGCAAGTAAAATGAATAATTGAACCAGACATTGCCTTAGCGTCACAGTGGAAATGTCCATCTTGAATGTTCAACCCTGACAATACCCCCGGAAGCAAGACCCGTGTGACGTTCTTTGAAATATTTGTAGAAGAAGCATGCGCGAATATACTTCAAAAGAAATGTAGACAAGAAAGTTGTAGAAAGTTGTTTTCTATAAATAATAAGTTCAAACCGACTGCTGAAATATAACATATCGTGCGGACACTATATCATATCGTTCGCACACTATATCACATCGTGCGCACATTTAGTATCTCGTGTGCACGATATAAATAAAACCAAATTCTTCTACTCATTTCCATTCAGCGATTCTGTAGAAGTCATACCTCTCGTCATAGTCTTGTGGGTAGTTGTCGGTCTCTCTAAATATTTACGTACGCTTAGACGTAAATATGAGACGGTCTCATTGGTTTCTTCTATTTCTAGTACACGTGGGTGATTTGACAGTTATAGTGACCTATCGTATCACAAAAGCTTGAACGTCTTGACCAAACTGCTTTGTTTAGGTATTGCCAATGCGTGTCGTATGCATAAAGAAGCTGATCGCCGAAAAGGGAAGCACACTTCGTGTGAATTAAGCATAAATGAATAAATAAATGCCTACACAGAGGGAGATATACATGTATTTGTATATGCATTTATTTACATGTCTATCCACACACACACACACACACACACACACACATATATATATATATATATATATATATAATATGAGTCCAGATATTTCTTCTTATATAAAGATATTCGTATGTGTATGCTTATATAATATATTTATTTGGGATTTTTATAGTTTCATGTATGCGTAGATAAGTATATACATATGAACACCGAAAATAAATAAATAAGTAAACACACAAATGACATATGCATTTAATATTCGTCAACAGTTACAGAATATAACTCCTGACCCATATTGGAGGCGGTAGTTGCACTTTTGTGATTTTACGTCTGCTTCAGCAGATCCGTTTTTGTGGCTGGGGTCAGTAAACTTTAGTAAAAACAAGAGCAATAAAAAAAACGATAAAAATAACTGACCCAGGTAATACAAGTGTGGGGACACAGGCACTCTAGCCTAGAAGGTCATAAAGCAGGTCGAGGAGAAATTATTAACATACAGGAGTAGACCAGATGGGAGTGTTTGAAGTTTATTGTACGTAAGTTAAGCTGATAATAAATGTAGAGCGTAGAATGTTAACACCGTTGTTGGTGAGGTGAGAGAGAGGTATGGTTGTACGGTGACATCGTGATGTAATATCTGGATCTGATGAGGTTGTTCGTATTCTAGTCTGTGTTTCTCTTTTCCCAACTGCCCTGAATTTCCATTCCCACGTGAAGCAACAAAAAGTTTAGTTAGTTTCGAAATGTAAATTCATGTCCTGCTGTCATGAAATAATACTCTTCCCTTGACACTCATTTGAAGAACCAGGTGAACTTCGTGACAAAATAATATAAAAAATATACGATGTGATCTTCTATTTTTTAATTTCCTAAAATAAGTTAACAATTTGCAAAATATTTTTTAATTATTATATTCGCCTGCATGCTGTTTGATGTTGGAGATGTGAAACATATAAAATTAACCTTGTCCTAACGTTTGTGGAAATACTGTAACTTGGTAGGCGGAAGTCTGACAAGACAATTCACGACGAAAATTTGGATCCCGATCTTTGATCAGAAAAATCATGTTAATCTGGAAGAGTATTTGGTCTGAGGTGTTTAAAAATTGTTCTGTACATGAGTGCTTGGGCGAGGTTAAGATCAGGTGTTGACCCGCATGGCACTGAAACCGGACGCTGTAGAAACATGCCCAGTGAAGAGAGAGATTGGTATAAGCGCCTCAAGGAAGTGGAAGACAAAATATATTGCTACACTGTTTTTTTTTGTGAATGGCAAAGTTCTCTCTCGGCCAAAATGTGGGTCGATGGGCCTAGTGGTTAAAAACATTCCTTCGTTACGCCGAAGACCGGGTTTATTATTCACCACATGGGCACAATGTGTCAAGCCCATTTCTGGTGTCTCCCCGCCGTGATATTGGTGGAATATTGCTATAAGCGGCGTAAAACTGAACTCATTCTCTCAAACGCTTAGGCTAATGTGTAGAGAGTTGGACCATTTCTCAATTTTATGTATTTTTCAAAACCTTTTTTTGTGCTGTCTAATGTTGAAATGTGTGTTTAAACCGCCAAAACTGTGTACTGTAACAACATATTAAAGAGGTAAACCAAATTTCATGTGTTTAGTTTTTAAACTCTTCCATAAATCTGTGTAAAGTAGCGTACATGCGTGCGTATAAATCTACCAGTGGATATATAGGGCGGTTTGATAGAGGTATTTTTAATTTGATGGGGATTTAAGCTGGGACTGGGTATTGCCTCTACAAACGGAGTCTTGAAATGATTTCGTCTAAAATATTGATTTGGAGAAATTGTGGTATTTGGTGATTGGTTTAATATAAAGGTGTTTTATCCGAAATGATTTTAAATACGAATTCTAAATGTTTTGAAATATGCTATAAAGTTGTGTTAGTGGTTCGACCTAATGCTTACTTGAAGTATACCAGGGTGAGTACGTAAGTCCCAAAGCTTTCAAAGTAAATTTCGGCATACCAAAATTTTAATCGTAGTATATTTGTTGTTTTAAAAAATGGCTAAATCTCTCAGTTCAATCGCCAGTGACTGAAGGGATGATATAAATCCAGATAGGGTTCATGCAGGTAGCAAAAGTACTGTAAGTCCCCAGGTGATTTACCGTCAGTTACTGGTGATCTATAGCCTGTTTTTATATTGTAATGTCCTAAATAGTATATCATTTAAGTTAGATAGTTACAAGTTAAGTGTGATATTCTAGCATTTTTACTATCCTTTGACGGCAGATTTTATATTATAACATCATAAATTATTTACGTATGACCTGTTTCAGTCACGATATGGCTGAAATATTGCCCACGTGACTGTAAATCTTAACTCATTCATTCATTCATACTTGTAGTAAAAGAAAGGGAAAGGACTTCAAACTGGTCCACCGAGTTATTCCCTTGGCCGTTAGCGAGACCAGGTAGCCAGGGAATTATAACATTTGCACAAACTGATTTAAATAATTGAGTTAAATGTTAATGTTTTTCGATGACTGTGTATCTACGCGTGCTTGTGAGGGACAGTATTTGTTGACGTCATTGAGAGTTATTTGTATTTTGTCTATCTGTGCTAAAGTTGA